CGTCACCACCGCTAAGCTAAAGGTGGCTAATGTTGGGCTATAAAGGAACTACAGCACGGTCACATGACTTCACGTCACCACCGCTAAGCTAAAGGCGGCTAATGTTGGGCTATAAAGGAACTACAGAACGGTCACATGACTTCACGTCACCACCGCTAAGCTAAAGGCGGCTAATGTTGGGCTATAAAGGAACTACAGCACGGTCACATGACTTCAACACTAGGATACAGGAAGTGTTTAATGCTGACTAACTTCTGTGTGTAAATCAGTGTCGAGTTAAGGTTCTGTCTCACCTTCCAGCCCACAGCAGCCAGCATGGACAGAGCGAACGCGATGGGAACGTGAAACCTCAGGCGCTTTGCCAGCAAACCCCTCATCAGAGGCTTTTGCAGAGACATGATGGATCACCTGTAGAGAAAAGAAAAAGTACTTACTCAATATGGTAATGTGTATTTCAAATAGAAAGAATAATAGGGTGTTTTACGCATTGAGACCATTCCTTTATACAATATTCCACCTTGCATCGGTAATAAAATGAAATAGTACAAGATATTTGGTCAAAAGTTTGGTGCAGTCTGACTTTATATTTAAGGCAGATACTGAAAACAATATTTGGAAGTTTTTAAAACCTGATGAAATATTAGCAGATGGTATTTTTATATAAAAACAAAGGTCTTGACCGCGAGATATACCCAGTTTAAAAATAAACATGATCTGTGCTGAGATGTGAAGAAATAAGGACACACTCATCCTGATACCTGCAGAAACATATCGAGTAATCCCAAGAATCACAGAGTAACTTTAAATCACGAGACGGTCTGTAAACGTTTTTCTGACCGAAGAGTGCGAGCATGTGACTGATAAACATATATGACAACAAAGTGTAACTGATGTGTTTTACATGTATGACATCTTCAGTGAGTGCCTCTTTATGCTTGCCATGATTTCACAATCATATTCAGAATGTATTTTCTGTCCTCCTCACACATAGGTATAACAGCATTTCCTTCGCATCTCGAACGGCATTATTAAAAATAGACACAGATAAATAAAAGCAGTGTTTGAAGTAGACTTAGCTGACAATGCACTGCACGGAGAAGGCACGAAGATTACATTGAAATAAATGGCAATGAACATATTTGACAGATTATGACATTTTAAAAATATACAAAGCTCCGCAAGTTGAAGAAGATTGAAGAAGAAGAAGATTCAACTTATGTAGTACAGGTACTATGTAACGAAACGGTTTCTCTGCATTTGACCCATCCTAGTGTGAGGAGCAGTGGGCTGCCATTATGTACGGCGCCCGGGGAGCAGTGTAGGGAACGGTGCCTTGCTCAGGGACACCTCGGTAGCACTTGGTCTTGCAGGGACTTGAACTGGTGACCTTCCAGTTGCCAAGCCAAGTCCCTAAGGACTTCGCCACCACCGCCCAGTGAATGTCATCTAGTGATGGGAATTATGGCTCCGTTCCTTTCAAAGAGACGTTTTTTGTAAAGGGGCGGGGTTACTAGGTTTATCTGCGAAATAATCACCAGGATAATGATTGACTGTGTTGCCAGACCTAATGTCAATAATCTGCATTGTAAACGTGACACAAGGTGGTGCCATATCCATGTCCTTCATGTCAGTGAATGTACTTTGAATTTACCCTCTGTATGTGTTCAGTCAATAAAGTTGCCTTGAATGAAATTCACGCAACTCTTAATATTAGATACTGTGTTTGTGGCGATGGAGATTATTTGTTGACCCTGCTTTAAAGGATATTTTGCCTTTACAAATGGTGCGCTCTATCACTGCCTGGGTTTTGGTTGAAGTGCATCCACGTGCTGCTGCGTTTTCGCGTTTGGCTCATTTTCCATCCGCAAAACACGTGGTCTACCTGTCCTGTGCCACTTGTTATGACTTCTCTCTCGTATTCCGTTAAGACCCACCCCATCTCACTCCTCGTGCTGAAACCTACCAGTCAGAGTAGGAACGGGTCTTCACAGAAAACAAAATCAAGCTTTTTAAAAAGGCGAGTGGATTTTGCCAGGCAGTGAGTGCGGACCAACGATTGAACGATAACAAGAAGGGCTCTCACCAAGTACGACTCGGTTCCCCTCGTTCGTACCAAAGAGCCGTTCAAAAGAATCGGCTCGTTCGCGAGACAGTGACAGAGACAGTTTCATCCCACAGACTGTTAAACACCTGGACTCTTTAATGTGCATCCATAACATTCATCTGTTTGCATCTTTAACATTATTTATCCAATATATCATATTCCATTTGCGTGTATAGACTCTTCTTGCACTATTTCTATTCTATTTGTATTTACTTGCACATCTCAAAACATTCTCTTGCACTATTTTATCCATTCTATGTCCTATATATATATATATATATATTCATGTTGCTCTGTTGGAGGAGCCTGGGACTTCAGCTTTTCATTGCCATATCTACACTGTAGCTGCTGAGCACATGATGATAAAACCTTGAATCGAGTTAAGATCGTTTTCCATATTCAACAATGTATTAAGAATGCCAATACAAGTCTGATATTGGATTGTATTTGTGACATTACTTAGAGAACAAAAAGCCAGAAGGTCAGATATCTCAACTCACCTAGAAGAAGCTTATTTTCCAAGTTCGGATGCAACTCTTACTTTGTTTAGACATTAAAAGGACAGGACACATTTCTGACATCAATATAAATATGTGTCCCTGAAGGCAGGTCGCCATCACTCACTGCTGCCAAGTCATGTCTGCACTGATCACGTGACCTCCCTCTCTGTGAGAGTTACTTGATTACATGAAAATGACCCGTTTCACACCCAGGTGTCACACTGCACATACAATATTATTATAGGACTACACATGTGTTTTGTCAACAATTATTAGCAGGAAGAGCTAACAGATGTAGCATAGTGAGGGTCATTATAGATAGATTATGTTTGTTAAAGCAGCAGTGTATTCAGGTATTACAATATTCAAAAAGGTGGAGTAAAGTATACACATAATACAAATAACAACAATAAACAGCTAGTATAAACCTGTATACAGTAGAAGGTCAAAGTAACAATGTCAGAATGGCTTCCTGTTTTGGTACTATGACATGTTAACTCCTTCACAAACATAACAAGCCAACGTTATTATTAAAATGTATTCTTGACTAATATAAAACAGTCATTTTGAGTAACGAACAATCTGTTAGCATTAAGCTAATGTATAGGCATCATAAGTGACGAGCTTTCGGTTAGCATTTATCATTGAAAGTCGTTTAGCATTTAGCATTGAGCTAACAGCAGCACGATGAGCTAACGTAAGCTAAACCGGCGAACTGCTTTACAGAGCCAAACGGCAACATTTAGGAGAAATAGTAACATATAGGAGTGGTTATTCATTTGGAACAGAAACACAATATCATTTTAAATCGATGAAAACATATAAATATTAGTATTTTAAGAGATACTCACAGGTTGGACTCACGACCTTCACACACAAACAGCCTATTCTGCCGGAAGAGAAGCTCTACTGGAGCCGCAGAGGGACATCATTAATTACAGAGAAACGCGAAGTCAGAGGGGCAGGTGACGTCATGGATGTGTGAGATGCGACGGCATTCAGGTGAATAAGTATAAGAAATATTAATCTTGTATTATTTCTAATTGGTCTACTTTCCATCACAGGAGTTACACACATATTTTTAGTTTCGTATGGCAACATAAACCGTTGCTGTAATTAAACAGGTTGCAGTTACACAGAGTGGCCACCAGAGGGAAGCAGAGCACCACTGGGGAGTGAGAACTGCACCGTTTAATTGCTTGTAACAGTGTCCATTATTACACACGGGCTCAGTAATATCAGTATTTGTAGTTGTTCATGTGTGAATAAACTATATAATAAAAACAGAATAATCCTGATTAGATGTCTGCATATTATTTTCCTTCACAATCCCAAACCTTTATCTCCGCTGCTTTTTTAAATCAAGTGCAGAAATGTCCTTTTTACAGCTATGGGAAATGTCTTAATTAACCATTTAATCTGATAACTGATATTTGTATGCGTTAACAACTTCTAGTACGAATGTAGAACATGTTGATCTTCTAAACATGTACGTTTAAGAGACTTGAACAAAATAATATATTTGTTTGTAGTTTATTTAGCTAATTTCGAGAAATCAATTTGTGGACAGTTGCATCATGTTGTTTTTTATTAATGTCTATTTCATATTCATCATTTTAGATTTGCATGTCTCTTTCTATCTCTATCGTGACTATCTCTATGTTTGGCTATTTGTTATTTATTCCATGTTTCTTTATATTGTTTGGCATTGGTTACGCATATCTTCTTAAAATGACTTCTTCTCTCTGGGGGTTTAGTTTGAATAAATGCCCTCTGAGTTTATTTATCAATATATGTTTTATAACAATATGTATACATCTCACAAATAACATAGGTATTTTTAATGAAAGCTGTCAAACAGATACATTTAACACATGCACAATGCCATCAGTGAACCTTTATGAAATCACTTTTGGAAAGCAGATTAACATTGATAGACACTTTATTGTACAACATGCTGCACTCTTTACAGTTGGTTGGATGTACACACTCAGTGAATAAAAGCCTGAAGACGTGACATTTATTAGCGTTTTTTTGCAGTATCTTGAAACACAGAACATCAAACAATACACTGAAACAAAGAGAGTAGATGAATCTGTTAAACCCCACCGCCTGCTGTTCAGTAAAGTGCATTTTAATAAAGTATTCTTCTCTCTGAAAAACTGTATCCATGTTTTTTTAAAGGAGAATGCTGCATGATAAAAAAAACCCTGTGTATAACCAGAATATCTGCCACACACACACACACACACACACACACACACACACACACACACACACACACACACACACACACACACACACACACACACACACACACACACACACACACACCATGTATACATCACTTCAGGGGACATTACATTGACTTACATGCATTTCCTGGAGACTTATCCTAACCTTAACCATAACCAACACATGCCTAACCCTAACCCTAACCCTAACCAAGTCTTCACCCTAAAATTAATGATTTCCCTTATGGGGACCTCCATTTTGTCCCCATAAGGGAGGCGAGTCCCCACACGTGACTGTGTAAACAGATTTAGGTCCCCACAAGGATGGTAATGCTAGACCACACACACACACACGTTTCATTTTAACCATCATGCACTTTTTAAGTTTCACAAACCCCTATGACTGTTGTCTAAACAAAACGGTATTTAACTCACAGCGTGCGAAAGATAAACGAGCACAGAAAGCTGGGACATGTCGTTTTTATTCATGCTAGATGCGCGGCCCACCACTTTGTTCCAGACTTAAATATCTCAACGACTGTTGTGTCAAACATTCATGCTCCTCAGAGGATACACCCGTTATAGTTCGCGGCTCATCCAGCCTTCTCTGTGGAGCGTAATCGAGTGAAATATGTCAACAACTTTCAAATGGATTATAGTGAAAAGTTGTGCAGACGTTCAATGTCTTTGCTCATAATCCAGACTGTGTTTCCAACATGAAGCACCAAATAACTCACTTTCAAACTGGACTTTTTAGCGTGTCCATTTCTAACTTTTCTTCAGATATACAAAATAGAAGTGATTGAAGTGTTGATATGTCGGACCTTGAGTCAAAATGTGATTACTGATCCATCAGAAAGAGTCACTCCGCTTGCTCTTATGGTTCATTTCCTTAATATTAATTCAAACCATAATGTCAAGCTGCACGTCTCACATTCCTTCAATCACTCATTAGTTTCCTTTTATTATGTACAAGTCTGTTACATCATTAACATATCCTTTCTCCAGGTGTCTTCTCAAACGTCCATGAACCACAATTGTCTTTGAGTTTGAAGAAGAAAGCGTTGCTGATAATCCTCAGAGTTTCAACTTGTGTGAAATATTGACTTGTATATGTTTAATATACAGCAGTCCTCCTGTTTGCTTCATAACAATAAAGTCAAAATGAAAGTTTCAAAGCGCTTTAGAGTGAGTTGACTTCTCTCATCCAAGCTCTTTCCTCGCACATCAGAAGTCTCCTATTCCGGCTAAAGTCAAGTTCATATGAGCATACTTTGAAACAGTACAGGTCTTTTTCTTCTTCTGTGTGCATATTGTGCGCAGTCAGACAGAAACACTCTGGTCACATGGTTAAGGGCTTTCAGACAACACTTCAATGCAGCTTTCCTTCATGCTCACTTCGAGGATGGAGATGCGTCTGGTTTGTAACGCAGTTGACAATCTTCAATAGCTGCTTTCGGTCTTTTTTTACTTATATCTCTCACCTCTCTATGATGACCTCTGAGTGTGGTAAAGCCGATCCCTAATGTCCCTAGTGGCCGTACACTAGTACTACAACTTCAGTGTCAGTCCAACATTGACTTACATTGGGAAAGAGACGTCTGTAAATCAGCTGTAGGTTTTTTTTTATCACTATTATTTAAATATTAGGTCCTATAATTGTATACGTGCTTAAAGCATTATCCATTCATGTGAGCCGAAACTGATGGGAAGCAGCGGCTGAGAAGAAATGTCCAAATGCTTTTAATGTTTCTTGTATAGCAGTTTCATTCCCTTATTTCTGTTCAAATCAAATCTATATATAAGGAAAGGCGATTCGCAGAATACTTTGGATGAAAAAACCTTCCAACTTGTTTTTCAGCCCGACCCCTTGGATCCAGGATCAGTTACTAAAACAATATCTCATCGAGGAGACAGAAGATAATATATCCAGCAAGACTTTGGGAAACATAAATCTGAGGCGGAGGGGTTTTAACATCATGACTGTCAATCTGAGGTGGAGGGGTGATGTCAGAAGTCGTAGGGGCATACCATCAAGGAGGTGGAGGGGGGATGTTAGAAGTCGTAGGGGCGTACCATCATGGAGGTGGAGGTGGGATGTTAGAAGTCGTAGGGGCGTACCATCATGGAGGTGGAGGGGTGATGTTAGAAGTCGTGGGGCGTGCCATCATGGAGGTGGAGGGGTGATGTTAGAAGTCGTGGGGCGTGCCATCGTGGAGGTGGAGGGGTGATGTTAGAAGTCGTGGGGCGTGCCATCGTGGAGGTGGAGGGGGGATGTTAGAAGTCGTAGGGGCGTACCATCATGGAGGTGGAGGGGTGATGTTAGAAGTCGTGGGGCGTACCATCATGGAGGTGGAGGGGTGATGTTAGAAGTCGTGGGGCGTGCCATCGTGGAGGTGGAGGGGTGATGTTAGAAGTCGTAGGGGCGTACCATCATGGAGGTGGAGGGGTGATGTTAGAAGTCGTGGGGCGTGCCATCGTGGAGGTGGAGGGGTGATGTTAGAAGTCGTAGGGGCGTACCATCATGGAGGTGGAGGTGGGATGTTAGAAGTCGTAGGGGCGTACCATCATGGAGGTGGAGGGGAGGTGGGATGTTAGAAGTCGTAGGGGCGTACCATCATGGAGGTGGAGGGGTGATGTCAGAATTCGTAGGGGCGTACCATCATGGAGGTGGAGGGGGGATGTCAGAAGTCGTAGGTGCGTACCATCAAGGAGGTGGAGGGGGGATGTTAGAAGTCGTAGGGGCGTACCATCATGGAGGTGGAGGGGTGATGTTAGAAGTCGTGGGGCGTGCCATCGTGGAGGTGGAGGGGTGATGTTAGAAGTCGTAGGGGCGTACCATCATGGAGGTGGACTGCAGGGAGTAGCTCGGCCCTCTGAAGTGATGCCACTTGATGCCGTTGAGCTTCCTGATGTTGTGGCCGACGGTGTAATAAATCCCGTTCAGGTTGGAGAAACCACAGGCGTCAAACCACCAGCCTGAGGGGGAGAGGGGAGGGTCTTTATACTAGAGAAATATCACCTTAAAGGTCCCCTATTATACTGGTTTTTATCAATATATTATAGGTCTCAGATATATACAAAACATGTCTCTGAAGTGTTTGGCTCCAAACTCCAAACAGATCATTGCAGCATTACCCATAATGCCCTCTGTTTCAGTCCTGTTTCAAAAGTGCTGATTCTCTGTCTGTTACTTTAGATGAAAATAAGGAGCCCCTCCCCACGCCCCTCTGAGAGATTACAAAGAACTCAAGTGGTACTCTAGGAGGAGATTCAGATGATAAGGGGGGGGGGGGGTTACCTTGGTTGCTGATTGGCTAATGGATACACAAAAAAACATTATGACAATGGCCAAGGAGAGAGGATAGTTGTTACCTCCGGTCAGCATCAGGGCACACTTGCAGTGGTCACAGTTATCGTGGTCCTGGTCTCTGGTGCTGAACCCGGTCCCATGGGGGGTCAAACTGCTCTGCCCCCCCGCTGTACCACTGTACCCTCGCAGATACAACCTGAGGGGGGAGGAGAGGAGGCAAGGAGGAGAGGAGGTGGAGAGGAGAGGAAGAAAGGAGTTTATATATGTGGGAGTTATGCATGTGTAGGTATCAGATGAGATAGACCTTTATGTATCATGATGGAAATGGCTGTGCAGACAAAGCAGTTAAAAAAAACTATCCTCATCAACAATTCATTGTAATCTCTCTGCTGTACATAAATACAAGTGTGAGGTGTAAGTACAAGAACAGTAATTGACAGAATATTGTAAACAAATATTCCCCCATGTACAATTCCTTAACAATGGTACTTCAGTACAGTGCTCGAGCGAATGTGCTAAGTTCATTTAATTTGGGTGAGATTTAGTATTTTGTACATAGATAGAATTGGAGGGATGAAACCCTCTTTAATGGTCACACATGCAGAAATGTGTCCTCTGCATTTAACCCATCCTAGTACCAGGAGCAGTGGGCAGCTATTGTACAGCGTCCAGGGAGCAATGGGAGTTGGGGGTTGTCCGGTGCCTTGCTCAATGGCGTAACGGCAGAGGTGAACTGGGACCTGGCGACCCTACTGACTGAGCCACTGCCGGACTCCTACATCCTTCTGCTTCTGCAAATTGGTTCAAAGATAACTTCCTGTGCTGAGTGTTGTTATATATAACTGTCTGGATCAGAACGAGGTCTGAACTAACCAGGATTTGTTTTCCCCTTTCTGTCAACCATCAGATCAACCATCAAACAATATGACACTTTAGAGGGAATAAAAGATGCAAGTGGATTTCCTGCCTGTGCTCATATATAAATATGTGTGTGTGTGTATGTGTTTGTGTGTGTTTGTGTGTGTGTGTGGGGGTGTGTGTGTGTGTATGTGTGTGTGTGGGGGTGTGTGTGTGTTTATGTGTGTGTGTGTGTGCGTGTATGTGTGTATGTGTGTGTGTGGGTGTGGGTGTGGTT